CAAATAGTTCTTCAGGATGTTCAGGGGTCCTTGAAGTGGTTTAAGCGATCCCTGAGTAGATTTAAGGGGTCAATGAAGAAGTTTTAATGGATCTTGAGGTGGTTACACTGCTCCTTTAGTGTGACGCTAACTTTGTAAGGCTTCCATTGACAAAGAGTTCAACGGATATACTCACGGCACTAAAAGTTAAGTGCTGATGAGATGACTGAGAAGTTAAGAGGAGATAAAGGTGTCATTGAGATAGTTTCTGGAGTTCTTAAGGGATCTCTAGTAATCCTTGTGGATGATTTAGGCCTTCTTGAGTTGTTTTCAGTGGTTCAGTTGGTTCTTGAGCTGTTCAGATCATTTTACCGGGGATTAAATGGTCCTTAAGATTGCTTCAGCAATGCTTTATGAGGTTGTGAAGGTGCAGTTCAACCAAAGAGCTCCAGTGATTCTCCCAGATATTTCGGGGGTTCTTGTGGGCAAGTCAGTTGGCTTCTGTGTTGTTTTCTGTCTTTTTGGACATTTTAGGGGGTTTAAGGTGGTTCATATGCTCCTGAAGGTGGTTTGGCCAAAGTACTCACACTGCTCCAGTGGTTCTCCTGGATGTTTTAGATGCTACTGTATTATGGCGGTTGCAGTGGGTCCATTGGTCCTTGTGATGTTTGAATGGTTGTTTTTTTAAATATGTTTTTGGGCTTTTTTTTAAAGCAGTTCAAATTATCTTTTAAGTGGTATCAGTGGTTCTTTAAGAGGTTGTAAAGGTGTCGTTATGGTTCAACCAAAGTGTTCAGGTTCCTTGAGGGAGTTCAAATGTTTCTCCCAGATGATTTAGGTGTTACTGTACTGTGGTGATTTAAACATGTCAGTTGCATCTTGTGATGTTTGAATGGTCCTTTTGGACATTTTAGGGGGGTCAAAGTTATTCAAATGCTCCTTAAGGTGATTTTAGTGCTGGCTTATGGGGTTGTAAAGATATTCAGCGTAAGTGGCCAGTTACTTTGAGGGAGCTCCGTGGTTCTCCAGGATGTTTTAAGTATTTTTTGAGGCATCTTCAGCCATTCATTTAGTTCTTGTGCCATTTAAAAAGTCCTTTTTGACATTTTAAGGGATGTCAAGGTTGTTTTTATGTTCCTTAAGTGGCAGGTTCTGCCAAAGTGCAGAAGTTCCTTGGTGTGGTATCAGTCACCTTTCAGAGGCTTCTAGCAGTTTCTGTGCAATGCTTAACATCCAGGAGATAAACACAGCTGTAATCAAGGTCATAAATTATTTTTACCCCTCACATACAGTTAAAAGCATTGTTTCGTCACTGAGCAGACAACAGTCTATGAACTAATGTGTTTATAGTCTTCTAATTCAACTTGACTTTCCCCAAACTCCTTAAACTGTCACTCACAGATGCCTTGTGGATCAGATGACCTACTCCTTTTTCAAAGCCCTGTATACTGTAAAGGGCACACTGTACAGTAATGCAGGCAGTGAACTTATCTCAGCAGTCATGATACAGTAAACGAATGCCCTGTACTGTTGATTACTAACAGAATGTAGTAAAAACTGACAAGTTAACAAGAACTACGACTAAATATTAGTAATAAAATAAAAACTTTGATGTAATAGGTAAATTAAGTTTTCTGCTTCACAGAGGCTGTAAATACATTTTTGCTTGTTTTTAGTACTAACAGTCTGCTGGGGGTCAGATTTTGTTAATGTTATGTCTGTGAAAGTATTATTGAAGGTAAAAGCTTTTATTTTGGCAGCTCCGCTAAGCTGACACTTTACACCATCTTTAAAAATAGACACTGATCTGTATTTACTATCATAAATAATATCCACAGCTAATAACAGCTGATCCAGACAGCGATCTGAGCTGTTGTGCATCCATCTACATGCATTTGATTACAGCACTGTGTTGTGTCATGTTGTTCAGAACTTAATAATGAGCTGCAGGTATAAATACAGGCACTGACTCACAGCTCTGCTATATGAGGATAAACTCCGAGCAGCAGTGCGGCGCACAACTAATCCACAGCTAGCCTAATGTGACACTTAAACTGTCATGGGCACATGCCAAACAAACATGTCAATCCAGTTTATTCAGATCAATGTATGAAACGGTCATAGAAGCCCTCATCTCAGGTTGGTTAAGGTTGAATTTTAAAGCATTTACATTGGGTGGGGTTGTATGTAATTTAGATTAGGTTAGGATGGGTTCTGAGTAATTTAGATTGGGTTAGGATAGATTACAATGTATTTAGATTGTGTTAGGAGGAGTTATATGCAATTTAGATAGGGTTGGAACAGATTAGAGTACATTATGATTGAGTTAGGATGGGTCACAGTGCATTTACATTGGGTTTGAATGATTTATATGTTCTTTAGATTGGGCTAGGGTGGTTTGTTTTTGATTGGATCTGGATGGGTTTTAAAGCATTTAGATGATCTAGGATGGGATATAAGGCAACATAGATTTGATTAGGAGAGGTTGTAAGCAGTTTAGAATAGGTTAAAATGCATTTAGTTTAGGTTAGGGTTGGTTAGAAAGTGTTTAAATTGGTTTAGAATAGGTTAGAAGCCATTTACATAGGGTGATAATGTATTATAATGCATTTCAACTGAGTTAGGATGGTTATTAAGGCATTTAGATTGGTTTAAGATGATTTTAAGGCATTTACTTTGAGTTAGGATGAACTATAAGGCAATTAGACTGGGCTAGGATGGGTTGTATGGCGCATAGATTGGGTTATGGATTGTTCTGAAACTGAAACTGTCTCGAATGAGTGATGTTGCATTTAGAAAGGGGTCTATTAAAGTATATTAATGATCCAGGGGGATATTAAAAATGTTATAGAACAGGTTTCAAATGGGCTAAATCGCATTTGAAATTGTATAGTGAGGTAGAGTATATTAGAATGGATCATAAAGGGTATTAGGTCATTTGACATAGTAAGGATGACTTTTAAAACAGTTATAATGAATTTGAATGGATTGTAGAGAATTTAAAAGATGTTATGATGAGTTTCCAGTGGTCTTTAATTACTTATACAGTATATACCTATTTAGTATTTAATAGAATAGGTTATAATGGGTAATGGCTCATTTACAATGCAGTTAATTATAGCAAACTATTTATACGGATATGAGGTGCTTTGGAATGGCATTTGGAATAGTGTGCATAAGCTGTAGCACAATTAAAATGGGTTATATTCAATTCATAATTAGCTTCAGAGGGTCACAGTTAATTTAGGACGGATTACAATCAGTTAGCACATTACAGTGGGCTGGAGTGTGAAAATAGGTTAGAGTGCAGTGCAGTTACACTGAGAAAGGAATGAATTAAAGGGCATTTACAATTAGTTTATGGTGTATTTCAACTGGAATATAAAAGGTTTACCTAAGTTAAGTAGGACAGATGGACAAAACCAGCAAGACCAAAACTTCTCCTCCTCCTCTTTTTCCACCTCCTCTTCCTCCTCTGTCAGGGCTGATTCAGTTGCCATCAGTGTTTCCACCCACAGCCTCTTGTTATGAAAGAATTCACTGCAGGGCTTCAACTATCAACATACGCAGATAAAAGAAATACACTCCTCTACCTCAGATCTACTCTCTGTAAACCGTGTACGTATATGTAACTCCTCCTCATATGTAATGGGGGAAGAAACGCAGCCGCCGGCAGGTAGATTCATACTTCAGATTCTTCGCAAGTTTTCCTTACATTGCTCACCAGTTGTGTAAATGCCTCAAAAATAATATGTTTTTAAATTTGTGCAGTGATGTAGATAAAGATTTAGGTTGTGATCACATCAGATGCAGTTATTTTTAATAGTTTCACTATAATCTTATTTATTAATAGTCCTGTATGGCGGCATGTGAATGACCGTTGGCGTGGTTATCTTGGAGCTAATTGTACATACCACAGTCAATGTACTTTCTGCCTCTTTAAATGGAGATGTGGGAGTTGAGATGTACAGAGCAGCTCTGACTGCCCCTGTGGCAACCGGACATATGGACTCATTACACGAGCCACTCATTGGCTTCCTTCTTCTCTTTTTTCTCTCTCTGTTATTACCTTTCACTGCCTGCAGCAGCTGCAGCTCCATATGTTCTTCATAATGTTAATGTAAAGCAGATCAGCTGCTCAGGTCTCGAGGTTGTAACACCATGAAAATCAGAGATGGATGTCTTCATTTGTTTGTTGGAGGCTTTGCCAAGAAACGTCTGTATCTGTCACTGATATCTTTGTAGAGGCTCAAGCTAGTGTACCAGTTTTAGATACATTTCCTGGCCTGCTAATATTAATACAAATCTTGTTCTTCATACTAGTGTTTATCTTATAACTCATTAGCGTTAATGTATGTAGCGTTGGTGCAGTATTCAGGTGTTAAATAGGATTTAGGTTAATTTTGTGTGTGTGTGCATTAGCGTACAGGCAGTATTTATAAACCTATTCCCCAAATGTTTGGATAAAAGTGTCTACGTGACTAAATAGATGTGATTTCAGGTCCAAATGACTAATAACTTAAATAACTGCTGGCAAAATGGCTGCAGAATCATCATCACTAGCAGCCTTTTATAAATAAAACACAAATTTAAACAAATGATTAAGCCAAAAGGAGCAAAACGCCTCTCGATATGAAACTATAAATATGTAACCTGATTTTAAATAAGCACCTGACGCAGGTTCATCTTTATTTATATGGTGTGATTACAAGTATAGCTGTTGGCAAATTTGTTTTGGAATAATGTGTTAATGCTCCCAATTTGTAATAATGTGAAGTTGTGCTCATCTTCCTATTTTCATGATGTGTGAATGGTGGCGTTAGTTCAGCATTCCTTTGAGGCAGATTTGTGATTTTAGGCTATATAAATACAACTGACATGAGCTGAAACTCTCTATTAACAACAGAAAACTTGCAAAACAAACTTCAGTGTTTTGTTCTGAGCGTGTTCCTGGTGTTTGGAAATCAGTTATCTGTTTCTGTTGTATGTTGATTGTGAATGTATTTTCTCTGTGTTCCCAGGAGGTGGGTGTGGTGCAGTGGGCGGTGCGTTACCTGGACTTATAGGTGCCACCGGTCCCTCAGTGATGATGAAACCGTTCTTGTCATTTCCTGTTGAGACAACGTCTCCGGTTGGACTTTTCCCAAACTTCAACACGGTACGCCCGCGCACGTGTGTGTGTGTGTGTGTGTGTGTGTGTGTGTGTTGTTAACGATGACAGGCTGATGTTGTTTCAGGCAGCACAGAATGAATGTCACAAAAACACCTGTCATCAGTATTCAACCAATCCAGAGCGGCCTGCTGACCCCTGACCTCTGTGTACCTCTCACCTCTGTGTCTCCTACAGATGGACCCGGTACAGAAAGCTGTCATCAACCACACCTTTGGTGTCACCATGGTACCCAAAAAGAAACAGGTCATCTCCTGTAACGTCTGCCAGCTGAGGTTCAACTCTGATGTGAGTATGTGTTTTGTTGCTGTTGTTGGGAGATAAACAAGCGTATACACCAACCAGCCATAACATTAAAACCACTGACAGGTGAAGGGAATAACATTGATGATCTTGGTACGATGGCACCTGCTGAGAAGTGGGAGATGATAGGCAGCAAGTGAACAGTCAGTTTTTGAAGTTAATGCGATTACAGCAGGAAAAACGGGAAGCCTAATGATTTGGGCCAGATTGTAGTGGTTGTGACTGTTCCCAATTTGTAGTGGTTTGTAAAAATCCAGTACAAGAAAGGAGCAAAGGTTCGTTGGCACGTCTGGTCGGATCCCACAGAAGAAATACAGAGACACAAACTGCTGAAAACTTTAATGCTAATCCAATCTTGCTTTTCGTGGGCCTGTGCAGCCTCAGATCGGTTAGAGTGTCTATTTTCAATCCTGTCCACCCAGCAAAGTACCTATAACAGGCATGTGAGCGTCAGAACTGGACTATGGAGCAATGGAAGTAGGCCTGATTTGATAAGTCACGTTTCTTTTACACTGTGTGGATGGTCGAGTGATTCTGCGTCGTTTAACTGGGAAAGAGATGGCAACAGGATGCACAATGGCAAACCTGGGGTCCTGGAATCCTACCAAAACATTGTTGCAGACCTTGAACAAGTACAACAAAGGCCTGTTTCACCAGAACAACACTCCCTACCAAATTGTTCTGGACTGGTATGAAGACAAAGAGTTCAAGGTGATGCGTTGGCCTACAAATTCCTCAGCTATCAGTCAGTTCCATCGAGCATATGTCTGATGTGCTGGAAAGACAAGTCCAATCCATGGAGGCCCCAACTCATAACTATCAGGACTTAAAGGATCTGCTGCTGACGTTTTGGTAACTGACACCACAGTCACCTTCAGAGGTCCGTGGAGTTCAGGCCTTGACAGGTCAGAGCTGTTTGGGCAGCTTGAAGAGGAACAATATCAGGAAGATAGTTTTAATGATGTGGCTGATAGCTACTTATTAATACGTTAACATGTTTGCTGGGTAACATTAACACTTTATCCTACAAATTCTAGCTCATTAGCACCTAGACCTTGTGGAATAAATTAGCTTTAAGCAATCAGAATTTAATTCAACACAGGACTCTAAAAATAACACTAAGCTTGGTAGCTAATATTAGATAACAATTTAAGTGAATACTTAAAAAAGATTTTTGCAAGTTTTGATCCTGAAAATGAGTTCTCACTGTCCAAACTGTAGCTGGAACCAAGGTATCAGTTATCACCTCTAACAACCCCGTTCCCGCCTCTAGATGCAAACAGAGTTAAACGTTTGACAGAAAATGTTTGACTGTCTGAAATGTTTGTCTGCATGGAAGCATTAAGGAAAATATTATCTCATGGGGCTTAATGCAGCTGAGATATGTGATACCTGGCGAGGCTTGCTTGTTTGTTTTTGATTATTTTGTCAGGTGTCTCCAGAACACGGCAGGCGTGCATAATCAGGTGTAACACTTAGCCCCTCCACGCTGTAATAACACGGTGCTGCGTAAATGACACTCGGCTCATTCAGAACTGCTGAGAGGTTTGAAGCCGCCTCATTAGCGATATGCCAATCAAACGTGACTAATTTATGAGCTGGTAAAAATTATTCATGAGTGAACATGAAAACAGGAATTAATGCTGAGGAGGACGCAGAGGAGGGAAGTCTAATATGCTGAGTAAAAGTTGAGTCATGAAGCTCCCAGACAGTCACATGAGGACACTGTTAATTCAAAGGTTTGATACAATATGCTCACACACTGTTACTCTGGGCTTGTGATGACACCAGACATGAGCAGCGCTTACAGAGTGGAGTGCATCTGTTTACCAGGACTCATCATTACTCTGCATCAGGAAAGTCCATTTCCATCCAATCACAGGGACTCTCCTGATGCATAGACTCCACCTGCCATGTGATGTGTTGATGAGGTGTTAATGCATATAGATTATTTCCATCCGATTATTCACCACATCTGGAGACTGAAATGGTCTGTGAAGCATGAATCTCAGTAACTTTGGTTATCATTCTTTCATTTAGCACCATCATCAGGTTAAATGTAAAGTTTGTCCAGTGCTTTAGTGTATGACTTAATATTTGAAGAAATACACGTTTTTCCCATCAGCCTAAAAAGCCAAAAAAAGAAACGGAATTAACATGAACAACATTTGTACCCACAAGTTACTATTTACATTTTTCACATGACTCTGCACATAAAGTTTTGTATACTATTTCTGAGCTATGCTGCTTTATTTTATTGCCAAAATATGTTTTATTTTCCTCTCAGTCTTTAATTTGTTTCTATATTTGTCACATATCTGCTTTGTGTAAACACAGCCTGTGTTCAGCTGACAAGTTGCTGAATGTTTGTCATGACTGTTCGTTGCAGCCGATTCAGTTGGGACTTCTCAGTTGCACCGAGTTGCAAAAGTTTTTCAGAATTTGTTGCATATAAATATCACAGTGTTAATCTTAGATTTGGGGTTTTTTTTCCCCCCCAAATGATTTGTTCAAGTAAAGGTGAAAATATGATAATTCTCTTTTTCTTGCTCTGAGACATGGGGAGATTTTGGTGATTCTAAGTGAGCTCTTGTTTGATATGCATTTTTTTTTTTATTTCTTTTTGCTATTTGAGCTGATCAAATAGCAAAGAGAATTATGTATGTATATATATCAAGAAAATAAAAATGGATTTTAAAAATATATTTTAAAATAATAATAATAA